CCCTGTATACTTTAAATCCAGTTTTCCTTTGGATGAAATCAATGTTGCTAATGAGCAGACCACAGAGTTGCATTTAGAGAAATTATGATGCATAATGAAAGATAAAATATCAAAAGTAGCTAGTTTACAGTTCATTATTTAGATACGTAATGGCACGTGTTATTAACCCGTGCGATAAAGACGATGAAATAAATGCATTACAACAAATATGAAAAAATATTACTCGCATAAATTAAATCTTCTGCTGTTTGCATTCTACAAAAATTCACTTTCTAGTTAATCTTGTTTCATTCTTGGAACTTTTTAATACAGATTAGCCGTGGGGATTTCGAAGTAACGAAGCCTTTGCCCCACGCGTTTACGAGCGATCGATCACCTTTTACCCTGACACACGCGACACGACACCGGGGTTCCTCGTTACGCTATGGAACGCGGCGACTTCCGACCGGAAGCCATCGACACGGCAATCTTTCGCTTTGAATATTTCAAAAGGAATTACTAATTGTAAAACACCTAAAAACTTATTCAACGAGAACACTCGATGTACATTAATATCATTCGAAGCTAATGAATGAGAGTATTGAATATTAAAATTGATCATTTCCTGTGTTTAATATTGACTAAGTATGTTTGACGTCGATATTGCAAAATAATTATAAATGTTCGATGCACACGATGACGCTGGAGATCAACGTTGGAATACCCAATATTAAAACTTCTTATCAGAACTTTTATACAACGAGAATAAGAAATGACTGTCATTGGAAAAAAGAGGCCGTTGTTTAGTCTGCGGGAGACGGAGGCACGCGTGTACGTGGAAATTGCCGTCTGGCCCCGCGCTGCGGGCGACCGTCGGTCTCCACGACACCGCGAAGACCGATAATCCCCGAGGAACTTACAATTAGAATCGTAGCCGCGAGCCAACCTCGAAATTCGACGATGATATCACGCGAACAGTATTCGCGACCGAAATAAATATATGTACCGTACATCGACATTCTCCCACTTCCCGGTTCGAGACCGCGTTCCAACGCGACGCGAAAATTCGTCTAGAGACCCGCCTCTATTATTAACTTAAATGTTTTTGTAAATCGATACCCCGGCCACTTCTCCCAATTGAGAATTATTTTTGTAAAACTGCAACATTTGTTTTAATTGCAGAAAATCTAACGACGCTTTCGTCCAAGATCTGTTCAAGTTTTTGGACAGAAAAAAAAAAAAGATGTCGAGAGGGGAAAGTGAATCCGGTGTTAATCGAGCAATAAACGACAAACACGGTATATGAACGAGGGACAACGGGCGGTGGAGGGACAGCGACAGGAAGCAACATGATTTCTCACGAAATAGCTTCCTGTCTCCCACCGACCACTCGTTTAAAGGTTCATCGGTCCCTCGCCGGTCGCAAACCCAAACGGGACGAAGGTTCATCACCGCAGCATACTTTATACGATATTTTCCTTCGCGTTTAAAGCTCTCTATTTATACTCGGAGCAGAGAAAGTTCCAAGGAGACCCGAATGGTAAAATAATTAACATTGAAAGACTCGCCTCGAGTACGTCCTGCGCCGTTTGAAGGTATTCCCGAAGCATGGCCTCCTGAATGGCACGCCATTCCTGCCTTGGATCTTCCAGTTGCGTCGTCTCTGAAACGGTCCAACAAATTGTCATTTTTACCAACAGTATCTTATTTACTCGTTTCGCTTATCAGCATCGAGACTATTTAAATGCATACGAGACTCGTAAACTAATCCTGCATAATTGTACAAGTAGATTAGCTGGTATCTCGATATCGATAAGCGATGTATAGATAATGCGTATAAATATAAATAGAGAACACTCACGATTAACATGATTGATGTAGTACGCGCCCACGTGTTTGTCGTAAGCTTCCTCCCATCCAAGCGGAAGCTCGTTACCGATACAGTCAGCGAACGTTTGGGGTTTCGTGAACCTGCAATTAAAAAGTACCAAAACGTTTTTAATTCACGTGTACATTGACAAATTATTAGCCTATGCGAACGATCATTTTTATTCACATGTAAACCGTTCGAATATTTCGCAATTATCTTTTACGGCTCGTTACTCGAGGCGTCGCGTAAAAAAGATTTGATTTTATTGTTCCCGCGATCAGTTTGCGTCAGTTACGATCGCGTTCGCGATTGACGTCACGAATTTGTCGAAATGATCCGGTCTATAGAAATGTTATCACGGTACGCGAAATAGTCGGTGCCAAAAATTTAACAGGATTGTTATTTCAAGTGTAAACGCGAACACAAGCTCGTTGGCCAATTATATTTTACAGTACGAGTCTATCGATTTTAATTATAGTTTCAGGCTCTCCTTCGATCGTTATTAATTATAGATTGATTAACACTAGATTGCCCAAGGAAGTAATTTTCACTGCTTTTGGGCAAATGTACAAAT